ACCACGACTGCATCCACATGATCCCTGCTTCTATCGAAAGTGATACCCAGGTACCAAGGTGTGCTTTTTCCTCTGCTTTCTCTTTTTTTTTTTTCGCTCAGTACCAAATCTCACTATGTGTTCTTGATCATTCTAAAGATTACATAATGCTCTTGCTGTCTTCTGCCATAGGCAGATGGTACATAAACTATATGAATATGAATTATTAGATATAATTTTCCAGCCTCGCCCAGGATGGTAATGGAACATTTCATGTCTTCCATCTTCTATTGTATCCTTGTCTCCAGAGCTGCTGTATGTTTGGTCACTGCCCCTAAATGCACCTGAGGCTCTTCCAGCCTGACAAATATGGCAGACAAAGCTACCATCCCCTCAACTGTGGTAGTGCCCACTATCTGCATAACTGGTCCAGGAAGCTCTAGGCACCCTGTTATGGATCTGCTTCATAGTTATATATCTCTCTTCAGTTCTGGCTCCTCTGTTACATTTAATTACTTCTTTATAAGTGTCTAGGCATAATAATAGTCACAAACACTCAAAGGTTTCATGACAGGACACGCGAGCAACATGATAGGTGACATTGGGGGTTGGCATTGAATGAAACCATTTTTAGTTTTCACCAATGGGGAAAACTTGTTGATATTTGTTCTTTTTAAAATTCATCCTCCACTTAGAAACAGATTAATGACAAATATTGGAGTTTCATGATGTTGCTTAGCTATTTTAGTCCCAGGTAACTAATGCTTGCTTAATATAAAATGATTTTAACAAATGGTTTATGGTTTTAGAAGAGTTTCTAATTTTGTAAAAACAAAAATATGTACTGGTTATATTTTTCAAATGAGTTACTCAATGCATTCTACACTGCTCCATTAGTGTTTACTGATTACTCCTTTTCTTATTTAAAAAAAAAAAAAATTTCAAAAGTGTAAATAAATAAGAGAAAATTTATTATTTATTTGTGACCTGCATAAAAAGGTTGTTTATTTAAAGATATTTTTTATTGAATTTGCTGGGTTTATGGAATTTTTCCCAGGTATTTTATTTAAAAAAATGGTAATAAGATTGTCACTTGCAGGCATCATGACAAATATAACAGTAGTGTGTCAAATCTAACAATTTTATTCATAATTCACTCTTCATGTCTGTAATTTTATTCAACATTTACAAATGAACATATTCAAAAAATGTTGCTAAAATATATAATTACAAATTATGTTCTAAAGCAAGGTCTCTGCATGTGTGAAGTCACTATGTTTACTGAGAGAACTTCAGCTTTAAAGTGTCATCTTCAACAGCTGGTTCCAGTAGATTCTGTGTCAACTAATTGTTTTCACATTTTCTATTACACTTTTTTGTGTTCACCGGCTGTAAACTTCTGCTGAAAGTTCTGGTTGTTCATCCACTTCTAGACTTTGGTCTTGTTCGAGAACTCCAGTTTTATGCACATCTGTTTTACAGATCTGGCTTATTTGTATGTAAACTATTTGTACCTTATCTCTCTGGCAGATGCACTCTAACTTCGAAGGAAATCGCTAATAAGTTAACTCCTGTGAGATGCTTTTTAGGGAGGCTGTGGCTCTATTCCACCCCTCCCTCCCCCGCCCCCCAAATGGGGTCACGAAACCCACAAGGAGAATTACACTGTGTAAGTTTAGCAATGATTATTGAATTAATTATTGAATAACATTAGTAAGGTTTGGTCAATTAATCAATCAAACAGGTACACTGTATAACAGTGGTCAATTAATCAATCAAGCAGGCACACAATATAACAGTGAAGTTTGGTCAATTATTCAATCAAACAGGTACACTGTATAACACTGGTCAATGAATCAATCAAGTAGCACACATTATAACAGTGGAGTTCGGTCAATTAATCAAGCAGTCACACATTATAACAGTGAGGTTTGGTCAATTAATCAATCAAACGGGCACACTGCATTACAGAGAGGTTTGGTGTGGCAAACATCACGATGTGCCTTGATGTACTGTTTTTCTCGGTCAAACTCTGACAGTTTGAACCTTCCTGCTGTTAGTTCGTAATACATTTCTTGGACAGCCAATGCAATTTAAACCCAACAGTGTCAAATTTTCTACTCATGTGCAGGACACTACCATGTGTGACTATCTCTTTTTCAGCCTTCAGTTTATTGTGGTTCAGTTGTGGAAATTTCAACCAGTGTTTTATGCCACTTGAAGAGATTTAAACTTTTTCTAAAGTAATTTTTTTAATCAAGAAGGGAAGTGGGCACTGTACTTTGTGTGTATGTCACTCTATGCGTTCATATACTTTCAAAACATGCAAACTACATCTATTTATGTGCATAAATTATAGTGACATTTTCTACCACTGCAGGTGGGAAAACAAGCAATGGCTAGATTAGACAGCTAGACTTTATATCCTTTCATACCATCACATTTTCAACAAAAGTCATAAGAACTGTAAAATTATTATCTTATCAGACTGAGATAATGCCACTCTGTCTGAATTAATTAATTATATAATTAAATCAAAATTAATCCGAGTGGCATAGAATACTTTTACTTAGGGACACACATGAGATGTTTATACAGCCATTTACAAGGACTCTTTAGATGTCTATTACTTCAGTCCTGCAGCAGTCATTTACAACCCTCCAGCTGACAATGTATTTAAAGAAAAGATATAAAACCGAACGAAAAGTATATAAACAAGCTTCACAATATAACAAATACAAACAAAATGTGAACGCTGCGGCTATTGAGCCTTCATCAGCACATACAAATCAAACAATACTACACAGATACACAAAATCACTTAGCTGGTATCTCAAAGCAGCCGGGTCAGCTGTATCTCAATGTATTTAAAGAAAACATTATGCACACACTTTTTACAAGTCACTCAGACATTGCCTGAATTTACTGTTAGAATCACAACATAATATTTAAAAACCAGATGTCTCACATTGAGCTCTGGTCTACTTACACGTCTCCAGTAAGGAACATTTTATGTGTGTGTGGAGAAGGTCAGTCAGACAGATTCTATGATTCACCCCATGACTATGAAGAGTATACTTGTCCAATGAGTCAGTAATATCCCCTTTCTGCAGTGACTACTTTCTTTAACAAGGAGGACATAAGTAGACCCCAGGGAATTTAATTGTCTTCTCATGAGTGTCCTGATGTCTCACGCATGCATATGTCTCCTTTAATTGACATTTCAAGCAGGAAATTGTAGTGTGAGTCTTCGTTGAGCATATTTGGGTTTTCTCTGGTAACTGAGAAAAGAGGATAAGATGATCCATACTCAGCGTATTAGAGACACTGTGCACGCCTGTACGCAAGTTATTCTACATAGTGGAAAAATCAACATTAATTCAGATTTTTCTGACCAGCACCAAGAAGACCTAACAAAGAAATGCAACCTTGGTTTCTGAAGATTTATGATGGCAGTACACACCAGGATTGACTCTGTGTCTGATCAAATTCTTTCCTGGACAGGACCTTGAATTTGTGTGTGTGTGTGCGTCTTAATGATGACTGCTTTCTCTTATTTTCTTTAACTGACAGAGGACTGAGCGCCGCGATAATTAGCCTGTCCTGTCTTAGCTTTCCATCCTGCTGTGACAGTCTTACCTTCTTGTCCTCTGTCCCCGGAGTGAGATGTCAGCCATTTTGCCTACGGGACCAACATTGCTAGACTTTGTTTTAGACACTATTAGGAACCCACTATCTGGCTGTCTACTATTTCATGCATAGGAACTCAATCCATTCTATCATAAGCTTTCCTATACTCACGACTATTGGTCAACCAATCAATCAGTCACACTTTCTAACATCACTGAGGTTTGGTCAAACTATCAATCAGGAACACTGTCTGACATTAACGAGGTTCAGTCAATCACTCACACCAGCATTTCTTCCATGGTCAGCTCAGTTTGATGACTAAATCCAACATTTTTTCCAAAACTGGCTGTAATGGGTCCCCAACACTATCTGCCTCTAACATTAGTTGTACACTTAAAGACCATGATGCTTATTGATCTTTCCACTTGTACAGTTTGCTAACTTTTGCTCATTTATCTTTAACTCTGGTATAATTTGTAAATCATCCTCTATTATCTGTGTAACCAATTATATTATACACTATGTTTGTACAATGTATCCCAAATATTCAAATATATATATATACACACACATAAACCATCTCCTTGACTTACAGCCTGTGCAACTTATTGATTATATACACTTTCAACCGAAAATATTACAGAAAAAGTAGTAAATAAAGAAAAACTACACCGTTCTGGTCAAAAAGTTTCTAAATCTGATGCAACAGAGTACATGTTATGTATTTTCCCCATTATGTACAATAATTATACCCACATAAACTGGATTTTTGTGTTTAATACACAATTTTTTATAAACTGTCTGAATGAAAATTGTGTAGAAAAACACAGATTAAACTTATGACCTGTTAGTCTGAACGGAACTCAGCTGTAAGTTAAGGAGACTGTATATCCATATTTTGGAAATCTCTGTTGTTGTAGACCAAAAATTCCTGACAGGGAAAGGTATGCTGGGATGTCATGAATAAAGAAAAACTTTTAGGACCCGCCCACACTAGACTAAAGTTACTTCACAACTTCGTTGGTTCGTAATATAATGATGAATGGGATTTCTAGAATTTGCTTCTCTTGTATTTTCATCTACTTTTATAGTTACTGGTTAGTCTTCCAGAATGCAACCCGAGAAGAAAAAGGTCACCAACAACAAAACTGCTATAACAAAATGTGCTAGTTAAGACCAAACAACCACACACATGACATAATGAAACCATCAATGTTAATGCTGTCTGGAGAATGGGAAGATTTAAATAAAAACACTCAGAAACATTAGACCTCTTGTAACACATGCTCCATCTCCTGGTCCTCCTGACAACAGATGAGCCCAGCTGCTGATTTGTTTCAAAAGGCAACAAGATATCACAGGACAGCTTTATTTAATTGTTCACTGATTCATCAGCCAAATACTGAGCAGTAAGTTGGCACCTTGGATTTGATTATAGGCAAGGCTTCCTGAAATACACAAACAACATTTAAAAGCATGAATGTTAATTCTTTCAACAACTGTGTGTCTAGAATATATTCACCTTTATGTAATGACCATTGACATGATGGAAGAAAGCACTGACACAAGATTTAGAATGGAAGCATTTGGTTCATAAGCAGATATATATATATATATATATATATATATATATATATATATTATATATATATATATATATATATATATATATATATATATATATATAATATATATAATCTGTGTAGGTCTCTGTGTGTGTGTATATGTCTGTGTGTCTCTCTGTGTTTTGTCTCTGGGTGTGTCTGCATGTTGGTGTATGTGTTGCCTTTGTATATGTATGTCTGCATATGTGTCTACGTTTGTGTGTCTGTGGGAGTGTGTCTGCGTGCATCTGTGTGTATAAATGTCTTCGTATGCGTCTGCGTGTGTGTGTCTGTGGTTGTATGTATATGTGTCTGCGTGAGCATCAGCGTGTGTCTGCAATTGTGTGTGTGTTTGTGTATCTGCGTGTGTATATGTGTGTAAGTGTGTTTGTGTATGTATGTGTGTGAGTCTGCGTGTGTGTGTGTCTGCGGGTTTTTGTGTGTGTCGCATGGGTGTGTTTGAGTCTGTGTGCGTATGTCTGTTTGTGTGTGTGTGTCTGCGTTCTTTTCTATGAGTGTGTCTGTGTGCGCATGTGTGTATCTCACTGTATGTATGTATGTGTGTGGAATGTGCATGTTTGTGTGGATAAGTAGGTATTATGTGGGTGAATGGGATGTGTTTATATGTGTAAAGGTACATGGGTGTGTAGATATGCGTGTTTAAGTGAGTGGGTGGGCGTGTGTGTGGGTGTGTGTATGTCTATGTGTGTCTGTGGTCTATATGTCTATGTGTGTGAGTCTGTGTGTGTCTGTCTGTGTGTGAGTGTGTATGCATGCATGTGTGTCTACGTGACATGATACGAGTAGAAGATATCAAACACATTTTTAAAAAGGCAAAAGACGCTGCGCCAGGGCCTGGTGGGGAGGTATGGTCACATGAAGGCTTTGAGCGATGTGGACCTAGCGGAGATGGCTGACTGTTTTAACCAGAGCATTAAGACAGCAAAAGTACCACAGGACTGGGTGCACAGCTATCTAAATCCACTACCAAAACATTTTAAGGATAATTCAAAGCTCAGTGGCTTTAGAATCGTCACCTCACAACACACATTTGGGAAGGTCTTGGAGAAGATAGTTCCTGTAAAGCTGCAAGAATTTTTGGAAAGAGGGAAGCTTCTCTCAAGAGGTCTGGGAAGTTACAGGCCAGGAAAGGACACTTGGGCAAATGCGGCCACTTTTGCTTTTGACGTCTATGAAGGGTTCCAGAACAGACAGGAAACTATGGCGGTAGAACTGGATCTCGTGGATGCTTAAAACAGAGTAAGATACGACATCTTGATGACTGCACTGAAGGAGAAGGAGGTCAGTCCATGGATGGTGAATTGGATTGCAGCTGTCCTGTATTCACGTCGGGTTGCTCTCCGACTGGGCTCATGGACCTCAGAAACACGCAGTTTGGCCCCAGGACTGCCACAGGGATCCGCCATCTCGCCTGTGCTCTTTAACGTGTATACAAACAAGATTGCAAGCCTAGAAGCACCAGGAGTTGGAAGGATACTGATTTTTGCGGATGAGATACTTGCATATAGGCAGGGGAAAGAGAGGGAACAAACAGCCCGAGAGCTACAAGCGACAGTGGACAAAGTGACTGAGTGGTGTACAGAAATGAGGGCTGTCATCCACCTGGAAAAGGCGTCTGTTTTGTGGTGTTCTCTGGACAACAGAATCGTTAAAGCTAATTTCCCAAGTCTCATGATATATGGTAGAAACATCAACAGATAGAGCAAACTAAAGTATCTGGGAATTACATTTGACAGGAGCCTGTCCTTTAAGGACCGTGTGGAGAGTGTTGTGACAAGATGCCAAAAAAGGACTTAGTGCACTTAAGACTATGGCTGCAATTGACATAGAGCAGAGAATGCTTTTCACACTATATCAGCATTTGATCCTGTCAGTGGTTGATTATGGCTTGGGAATGCTTACCGTCTCAAAGAGTCAGATGGACAAACTAGAGCGAATACAGAAGGCAGCGATGCGGGTCATTCTGGGTTGCACCAGAGACACCCCAGTGGTGTCTTGGTTTGTCGACTGTTGCAGGTAGGCACAAGGTGCTGCAGGTGAAGTCATATCTTAGGGTAGCTGCAGACACAGACCACCCTTTGCACGAAGCTCTGGGTGCAGTTAAGGGTCAGCAGCTGATAAGAGGGAAGTCATGAATGGCTCAGGCAGAAGACACAATCAGACAGGTTTGCATCTTTGAGAACATTAGGCGAGGAGAGGAGTGGGTCAAAGTGCCACATGAACAGTCAGACTTGTGTAGGGTCATAATCACACTGAGCCGGGAATGCAGAGGCTGGCCAGCAGGTGCCACAGAGGTGGAATTCAGCAAATTGTTCAAGATTATGCTTGCTCAGAAGATTTGATCATTTACACAGACGGTTCAGTGTCAAGAGGCAAAAGAAGTGCTTGGGGCTTCTTAGCAAAAGTTAATGGTCGACGTTTGGTGCAGGAGAGCCTAGCATATGATACCACAACATCCAGCTTAAGAATGGAGGTAGAAGCGGTCACTGCGGCTTTCCGCTGGCTAGAGAACTCGACACACGCACACATTGTGATTGTAACTGACTCAGAAAGCATGCTGAGGAAGATCAGGACAGGCATGCTTTGTGCAGAGTGGCATGCTTTGCTGCGGTAGACGCGGGTGAGTATTGTTTCGATTTTTTTCACCAGGGCATGCTGGTGTGTTGGGAAATGAACAGGCAGACAGACTGGCTGGCTCTGCACAGCTTGTTGGAATACTGATGCTTGTTAGGGCAGACGTGGTTAGTGAATTGTGGGAGAGCTTGTACAGTTCGGAGGAGCAGACTGATCATCACAGTGTGGTGAGATTGATGCAGTTGCTCAAGGCTCAGAGAAAAGGCAAGACAGATGTTTAATCAGAATGCTACTGGCACCATTAGTATCGGAACTCTTCGCTGGCTGCTGAAGATGGGGATAGAGCGCTTTTGGGAATGCCCTAAGTGCTGTGATGTCGGTTCTTGAATCAAATCAATCAAATCAATCAATGTGTCTACCTGTGCATGTCTGTCTGTGAGTCTCTGTGTATGTGTTCTGCATGTGTATATGTGTGTCTTCGTGCGTTTGTATTGTGTGTCTGTGGGTGTTGTTGTTGTTGTTGTTATCGATCCAGCGGCGCATGAGCTTTCGCCCTTTGGCCTAATGCCATGTAGTAGAATTTGCATGTTTTCACAAACTGTTCTTTTCCTCCATACAAGGTGTTCCACTTGTCTGGTCTCGGAGGGAGTAGTATTCTTCTAGTCTCACTTAGTTTTGGGCACTCAAAGAGATGGTGTTCAACAGTTTTGTAGGGGTAGTTACATAGCTGGCACTCTGGGGAGTGTTGTGGCTGTATTCTGTTTAGGTGTCCATTGAGTGGAGTATGTTGCGTTCTAAGTCTGAAGATGGTGGCCTGGTCCCTTCTTGTTAGATGGTTAATGCTGTCATTAGGATCAGGGCCAGCCATGTGTCTATAAACCTCTCTTCCAGTGTCTCCCATGGCCCATCTGTTCAACCAAGTCTCTTTGTTTATAGCTCTTATAAGTATTTTTGCTGTCTGGAGGGTTGTCGCTGTAGGTGGTTGTTCTTGTGTTGCTCCTTTCTTTGCCAATCTGTCAGCTCTGTCATTACCTGGTGTGCCGGAGTGACCTGGAATCCACTGCATCACTATTCTGATGTTGTATGAGGTAATAAGCTGATCAGCATCCAGGATTATCTTGGCTATGTCAGTTCTGCAGCGTTCACTGCCCTCCAGAGCTTGAAGGGCAGACATTGAATCTGTGAAGATGACAATATTTTGGGCCTTTGAAGGGTAAACATCCATTACAGTCTTTAAGTGGTATACTGCTGTTTCCAATGCAATTATTTCGGCTTCATAATTTGAACAGAATTCCCTGCCTGCATCAAAAATCTCTTCAACAGATCCATCTGGATAACCTATGTAGATTCCGTAACCTGCTTTAATGTTAGCTTTAAATGCAAATCCATCAGTATAAACATGTATCCATTCTTGGGGGTAAGAATTAACGGTCTTTAGTGATGAGTTCATAAGAGCGATTGGGTCGGACTGTTTGGTTTCCTCGCCTACCAATTTAGTTCGGACTTCTGGAGCTTTAAAGCGAGCATGTGATGGTAGGTTTCGTGCAACATTCTGAATGTCTTGACGTCTTTCTGGGAGGTGGTATCTGTCCTGAATTTCATTAACACAGTGTAAAACCGATTTGTGCTTTATTCTTTGTTTGTATTCCCAGTTTTCTACAAGTTGTCTATTAGGATGGTTACGATTCTTTCCAACGCATCTTTCATATATTTCTAAAGTGGCTTTTTCTCTCCACATACCGAGGGATTCCACATTTGTGTGGATTTCACATGCAGCAGTTGGTGTAGACTGCATAGCTCCGCAGATTAATCGGAGGGCATTATTTTGTACTCTGTCAAGAGTCTCTAGGTTAGTTTTGGAGCAGGTTGTAAGCAGTGAGTTGTACTCTATCACAGAGGGAACATATCCTAGATATAAGCCCCTCAGAGTTTCCTTGTCTGATTCCCATTATGTACCTGCAAGTCTCTTTAATAACTGTAACCGCCTCAATGCCTTATTCCTAACGTTTTCAATATGGTTCTTGAGGCCGAGCTGCCGGTCAAGTGTGACTCCAAGGAACGTAGGATGCTCTTCTTTCATCACTTGGTGTTTGTCTAACCTCAGGTTAATATTCTTCCTTGCTACTTGATGGCTTTTGGTAAAGACTGTGTAGACCGTCTTTGCACAGTTAACCTTGAGTTTCCATCTTTGGCAGTACTTTTGCAGTCTTCTAAGGTCTCTATTTAGTCTTTGGGCTCCACTTTCCACATTTTCATGACTCTGCCTTATTGCTAGGTCATCAGCATACAAGGCTTTTTCGGCCTTGATTTGTTCTGGCAGGTCATTGATAAAGATTAAGAACAGTGTACAGCTCAATGATAAGCCTTGTGGCAAGCCCTCCTCCAAGACTTCTTTAGAAGAGATTGCGTTGTGCATCTTAGTCTGGATTGTTCTATCTATCAGAAAGTATTTCACCCAGTTATACAATCTGCCATGTATTCCTATGCTCATCATCTTCATCAGGAGACCTTTTCTCCATACTCTGTCATAGGCGTGCTGGAGGTCGACAAAGATGGCCACTGTGTGTTTCTTATTCTGGAAGCCATCATGTATTCTTTGTGTCAGTCTGAACAGCTGGTCTTCTGTACAGCTGTTGGTTCTGAAGCTTGCCTGTTCATGGCATAGAACACCAGAACTCTCTAGGAACCAATACAAGCGCCTGTTTATCATTCTTTCTGCAACTTTGCTCAAGCATGATGTTAAGGATATCGGGCGGTAGCTTTTGGGGTCGTCTGGAGGCTTTTTGGTTTTAAGAATGGGGACGATATATGCATTCCTACATGCCTTTGGAAGTTTGCTTGACCTCCAAGTTTTATTAACAAGCCTGAGAACTACTTCTCTCTCAGACCGGCCAAGATGTAGCAGCATTTCGTCGTGGATCTTATCTGGGCCTGGGGATTTTCTAGGTTTTAATTTCTTCAGGGCTTGTTCTAATTCATCCATGCTAAATTCATCTTCAAAAAGGGAGTCGCTGGCTGTTGTAGCTCTCTCTTGTTTCTTCAGCTGAGAGAGCTGTGTTCTATCGAGTTCTGACAGCTTACATGCTGTTAACCGAGGCAAAAAAATGATTGAAATGTTCTGCTTTCTTTTTGTCTTCAGTGATTGTCTCACTCCTATCTGTCATTGGTTTTGGGTTCACCCTTCTACTTTCTCCGGAGAGGTTTTTAACTAAAGTTCATGCTTTATTTCTATTCTGTCTAAGGTCTAAGTCGGAGCAATTTTCTGTCCATTTATCTCTTTTAGCCTTATTAACTACAAGCTTTACTCTGGCACATGCTTTATTGTATTAGATCTTTGCTTCTGTTGTGAGTCTTTGGGTGTGTATTTATGTATTTGTGTCTCTGTATGTTTGTTTGTGTGTATGTGTGTGTGTGTATTTGTGCGTGTATGTCTGAGTGTATGACTGTGTGTATGTATGTGTATCTGTGAGTGTATGTCTACATGTTTCAGTGCGTGTGTTTGCTTGTCTGTGTGTTCTACGTGTATGTTGCTGTGTGTGTGCCTGCGTGTGTTTGTGTCTTTGTTGTGTTTGTGTGTGTGTGTTTGTATGTGCCTGTGAGTGTATGTGTTTCTGCGTGAATATCTGTATATGCGCATCTATGTGTGCAGATATCTATGTATGTCTCTGTGTGTGTCTGTGTGCATATGTCTGTGTGTATTTGTGCGCGTCTCTGTGTGTAGTGTCTCTGGGTGTGTCTTCACGTGTGTTTATGTGTGTGTGCTTGTGTGTCTGCATGTGCCTGTGTATATGTTTGTCTGTGTATATGTTTGCGATTGTGTGTCTGTGGGTGTGTGCCTGTGTGTATGAATATCTGCGTATGTTTCTGTGTGTGTATGTTTTTGGTTATATGTGTCTGCATGAGCATCAGCATGTGTGTGTGTGTCTGCAATTGTGTGTGTGTTTGTGTGTCTCTCAGTGTGTCTGTGTGCGTGTATCTGTTTTTGTCTGTGTGTGTTTTTGCATATGTGTGTGTCCACTTGTGTGTCTGCATGTGTGTATGCGGGTTTGTGTGTGTCGCATGTGTATGTCTCTGTGTGTGTGTGATTGGGTCTGTGCGCATATGTCTGTTTGTGTGTGTGTGTCTGCATTTGTTTCTACGGTTGTGTCTGTGTGCAGGTGTATATCTGTATGTATGTATGTATGTATGTATGTGTGTGGAATGTGCGTGTTTGTGTGGATAGGTAGGTATGTATGTGGGTAAATGGGGGTGTGTTTATGTGTGTGAAGGTATGTGGGTGTGTTTAAGTGAGTGGGTGAGTGTGTTTGTGTGTGCGTGCGCTAATGTGTGCATTTTTTTTTGGGGGGGGGGGGATATTTATAATATGCATATTATCATATGAATATAACATGCTTATTGATAAAATACAGTTGTTTGGAAGGGCAGAATGTGAGACGGGCTTGCATGCCCAATTTAAGACCCTTTGAAAATAAAGCTTGTTCGTTCGTTCGTTCGTTCGTTTGTTCTCTTATGAAACATGGACAGGAATTAAAATACAGCAGGCTTTATGTAAGCAAAGAAATTCTGAATAACAACTGTATCGTTTAATTAATTAATGTTTTGTGGTAAATTAAAAGTTTGCGTAACACATTATCAGTTTGAATACACAACACCAATCATTATATATTAATATAATGGCTACATCATTGCAACAACTATTAACCAACATTATAACAAACTAGATGACACAAAACACTACATGCATTAACATATTCAACTCTTTCAGTATTAAAAGAAGCTTTCGTATGAGATACCAATGAGGAAATATTTGTGAATGAAAAATATCAATGCATTTTTTTTTAAAGTAATATAATAGTAGTGGTGACAACTGAATGAGCCAGATTTCGTAAGTGTGTTCTGACCAAAAACAAACAAGTAAGAAAACATATAAAGCTAGGAAGGGGATTTAGCCGATAGAGTGATTCACATTAATAGCACGGTTTTGGGACTTGAAGAATTCCTCAAATACAAGACTCCCTCAAGTACAAGACTCCCTCAAGTACAAGACTCCCTCAAGTACAAGACTCCCTCAAGTACAAGACTCCCTCAAGTACAAGACTCCCTCAAGTACAAGACTCCCTCAAGTACAAGACTCCCTTATTTTCCCAAAATTTAGGGTCTTAAAACAGTGTGCTTCTTATACAATGGCAGCAGATGTTTACCAACTGATCTGTTAGAAGAAAATTTTCTGTATAGGGCCTTATTTGGACATGGCGGTGCAGGAGCAACACACAATGCAAAAACAATGATAACATTTAATCTTCTTTTCCATTGAATAGTTTTTGCTCTCGTCTACGTGCTAACTGTTCCACACTTGTTACATAAGGTCAATTTTATTTTGCCCATAAGTGTCTCAGAAAAGATTTTTGTACAGTGCTGAATTCAAGTTAGAAGTGATCCAGTTTGCAAAAGTGAATGGAAATCATGCTGCTGAATGTAAATTTGGTCTCCTCTTAACTCAGCAAACAATTTGACACTGGCAATATATGAAGACAATGATTTGTCATTAGAGAAAGACAAGGACAAGTTAAAGAACTATCAAAGTGATGAGCATTTTGACAGCAAATTCAAGTTTTCTGGTTTCTGTGAAGACTAAAACATGAGTTCAATAACTTTATCTCATCATATTACTATTTTGTTTCCCACATGTTCAGCCCTTAAATCAGGCAGGGTGTGCCTTATACAAGAGACTGTCTTATACTTGGGGAAATACGATACATCTATAGCCAGTCTGGCAATTCACAGTCAGAAAACTCTGCATTCAGTCAACACCATAATCATCTCATTAATTCTTGCCATCTTATAATCACCTGTCCTCCATTTTGCTCAAGTTGTTGCAATGCTTCTGTCACTTTCTCTTTGTACTTTTTCTCCATAATTCTCTTTGAAAGCTGAGAAATAATACACTTAGATTATTTAAGATAACTTCCTTTTCAGAGATGGTTTATATGTTGAGCACACACACACATATACACTCCATGTGCGCGCACACACATACATGATAAAATCAGTCATGTTTTCAATGTGCGTTTTCAAAGTGATTATGCATTCAATGATAAAAACTTAACTTCTTACAAAACACATAAAGTGCAACATTTCCAAAGATAAAACTAGATCATAAAGTTAAAGGGGAGGGGGGGAGAGGGGGGGGGGGGGCATGGTAAGAAACCAAGATACTGGTCTTCATCAAGTTGCTCAGGCTAATTCTGGTCTAGTAATCATGCTTGCTTTTTCATGAAACTTCTGGAAGTCACAAGAAATTAAAACACTAAATTTAAAATATTCAACTCTAGTGTCAAATTAACACTGCTGTATGGAGCGGAAACATGGAGAAGAAATAAAATAATTACTAATAAAGTACCAACACTCACTAGTTGGTGTTTGGGCACAGAAAAACAAAGTGAGAAATGGTTTGTTACCTTCACAAACACTGAGCTTTGTGAGAAAACTAAACTAATGCCAGGGAATCAAGCGGTGAAGACAAGACACTGGTGTTGGACAGGACACATGTTGAGAAAACCCTAGAGGAGTCCTAAAGAGGAACTTACAGGGAACAAACGAACCAACGAAGAAACTTTTTTTTAAAGGGTTAAGAATTGGGCACGCAGGCCTGTCTAACATTCTGCCCTTCGAGGTCTCCCTCCGTTCTTACATCATTTCATTCATACATCAAGTAATATTAAAAATTAGCAATGGCATCAAAATAATCAATACAAGCACTGGAATGTGCACATTTCTAACTACAGTAAAACGTAGTAGTTGTAACAAATTTTAGGGAAAATGAGCACTATTTCTAACATATGTTTTATCTTCTTTGAAGGCATATAATCTGTGCTCAGATAATATTAGCACAGTTTCCGATGGTATGTATAGGAACTAGTAGTACTTTTGATTTGTTGTGGCAGATATTTCCACAATTGAGATCAAATAGAGGCACACCAAAACAATCATGGAAAAGTGAACTGGAGAGTGATGTTAAATAGACGGGGAGGAGATGGGGTGAGCTGCATGTGACAGCAATAAAAAGGATGAAGAAGAAACACACTTGTTAGCTGTGTTGGTTAACTGATTCTTGATTCCCTCAGTCTATTCCATAAACTTAATATTCACCAATGAGTTCTTTACGGTTGTTGCATGTGAAAAAAAGTAATCGTTTCTGTAACACAGCTGTTGTAAACACACTGGATTTACACACCTAATTTTAGTCTTAACTGAGGTTTCAACTACACTGCAACTTGGTCATCATTTACTTGCTCGATTCCTGTGCCATTAAAAATCAAATGTAATGTCCCTCACGCATCCCTTTTTTGCTGGTAGCCCACTTAGCAACTGGAAACCACACAAAATGCCCATCACTGTGCCATGTAAAATGTCAAGGCACCAGTCCAGGCAAAATTTAACAGCTTCCACACAGACTAAATGTATAAGGCAGCCACCAGAGGTGCCTACGCCAATATTCTGTTACTAAATTTGCCATTCACAACTGATGAAAGCAGCACTCATGACAAACCAGCAGGTGCACACGCATTACTGCATGAGGAACAAAACTATTTCTGTGGAAACCAGCCACTCCCCGTTTTCTGAACCTGTAGTTTACAAAACACAGCTCCGTGAGCATAGACAATAAGCAATCCCCATGGAATCCACAGCTCACCTCAATAACTGGCTGACTGAACATTCATTTTTTAGCTCGTTTGTTGACCCATCCAGTTTTCTGCTGGAGGTAGAAACCCTAATCTCTGACTGGATTACTGAGCAAGATAGGCTAAGAGACAGTAAAGTCTTGTACGGCACATCAACTATCAGGACCTGGCTCAAGTACCCTTAAATAAGCTGTTTCATCAGTTTTGCATCTGAAACTAGCAGTTTTTCAAAATCAGTCATCAAAATATCTTTCTCATTCATCTCTGATCCAACTATTGGTACCTTTGTGTTTTCCAGTTTAAAGCACACTCTTGCACTTCAGCATATTCTAAATACATTCCTGTAAACCTTTGGAAGAAACAAGTACCTAACCTCAGCATCGATTCATGCCACAACTTTACATTTTGCGTTTTACAGTTCACGCCATTCCTGTACATTTTGTGTTCTACAGATCAGACACTATGAGTGCTCTGATGACACAAGTACCAGCTGGCCACTCTACAGCTGCAGTGATCCATGTGGGTGAAATATTCCAGATAAACTAATAACAAACTAAGCATGGAACTTACAGCCATCAGCAGGGTCTTCAAGTATGGGTTCAGAGCAGGTCCAACAACAGAACTCAGCTGCAGCAGACCTTCCAAGCTTCTCTCAAACACAGCACTATCTGCATGTCCCTGCAATAATAACACAGCAAATCTATAAAAGCATAACTCAAAGTATGGAAACAGAATGCAAGCCATATACAACTAACAGTCTTATAAGATAAGCACACAAAGAAGTCTCCAATGAGGTTTTCTGAACTGACAGGGCTGATGTAGTTGCACTGTGTTAAAACTTATGACTCAGTCTCTCTGCAAGAGTTCAGATTAAAAGAACCAGCATCTTGCAAAATAAATAACATCATCAACAATAAACAAGTTGCCAAATAAAGAGAGAAATTCACAGCTAAAAGTGCTATATGACAGCCTACACTACTGTATGCCTGTGAAAAGTTGGCAACAAACAAAGGACAAAGATCTAATGGCAGCAGAAATATAATCTCTCAAAAGTAAGCAAAATAATAATGGATGGATAAATAGAACAACCTGTGGGAGAGTCATTCAAGAAACAGATTAAAACCAAAAACAGATTACAAAAAAACTGATACAGACAAGATAACTTGGGCTTGCTATGAGGAGAATTCAAATTCAGTAAAATTAATGCTGCAAAATGTTTGGCAAAACAGCAATGGGGGGAGGGGGGGGGGGGACTGTGAACATTTTGATGCTTGATAACACAGCACAAACTGGATAACACAGCACAAACTGGATAACACAGCACTAACTGGATAACACAGCACTGACTGGATACAAATATTAACCTGATCCAGGTTCTGGTGATTACGTGAGATCTCAGACCCTCATTGCCTATGCTTATCAGCACTACATGATGATGATGCATATAGAACTAATAGTTTATTTGATTGCCTAGCAAACACAAAACGGTGTATCCTGAACTGGCCAGGCTGGGCTCAGTCCCCTCATAAGCTCATGAATTATACATACCAGGTAACTAATTTGTTATAAAAATTAAATGAAATAAAAACAAAACGTTAAATGAGGATAGGTATACAACAAGAAGGCAATGTCAACACCTACTAGAGCTGCTCTGATTGGTGGAGCCAGTTTGGGAAGAAGTGGTGTGGCTTTCTGTGATGCTCCCAGTGTGCTCAGCAACTCTCTAAACCCCATACAGGAAACAAATGTATATGGATGGACAGTTTCTTTCAAGCCCTGCAGAAAAAAACATAAAAGTAAAATGTAAAATTTATGTAAAATAATAAATAATTGCTAAAAACAATTTTATAAATTTTAGGTTTTAGAAAAAAAAAATAAGTAGTTGTTTGAAAACAAAAGAAGGGGACATATTAATGGACAAAGAGAAGGTAACTGAAAAATGGACAAAGTGTATAAAAGAGCTATATAATGGTAACAGCAGACTATTAGTGTGGTAGAAAATCAGTCAGTCATAACAGCAGACTACTAGTGTGGTAGAAAGTCAGTCAGTCATAACAGCAGACTACTAGTGTGGTAGAAAGTCAGTCAGTCATAACAGCAGACTACTAGTGTGGTAGAAAGTCAGTCAGTCATAACAGCAGACTACTAGTGTGGTAGAAAGTCAGTCAGTCATAACAGCAGACTATTAGTGTGGTAGTAAGTCAGTCAGTCATAACAGCAGACTACTAGTGTGGTAGAAAGTCAGTCAGTCATAACAGCAGACTACTAGTGTGGTAGAAAGTCAGTCAGTCATAACAGCAGACTATTAGTGTGGTAGAAAGTCAGTCAGTCATAACAGCAGACTACTAGTGTGGTAGAAAGTCAGTCAGTCATAACAGCAGACTACTAGTGTGGTAGAAAGTCAGTCAGTCATAACAGCAGACTACTAGTGTGGTAGAAAGTCAGTCAGTCATAACAGCTGACCAGACATAGAGTCATCGGTATTGGGAAGGACCACCATTCCTGAAAGTAGAAGTAGAAGATGCTATAAACCACATGAAGAAATGCAAACCTCCAGGGCCAGATAACATCATCACTGAAGAATTAAAAACTGCTGGTGAACTGGGTTTAGAAGTTTCGACAAAATTGTTCCATGATATTTATAACAGTGGACACGTACCTGACGACCTTTTGAAATCTCTGTTCATACCTTTAACAAAAACCTTTGGCGCAGTTGAATGTGGAGAACATCAAACAGTTAGTTTAATGAGTCATGTAACTGAAATATTAATGAGAATTATCATCAGAAGAATAAGGTGCAAAATTAAACCAGTAATTGGAGAAGAGCAGTATGGTTTTGTTGAAGCTTAAGGCACAAGCAATGCCAAATTTATCTTGAGAACACTTTCAGAAATAATCGGTTTACGTTTAGACGATGGATCAACATCATGGCACTAGGGTGGTAACCCATAAGTGCTCTATTCTACTTCAGACTCAAGCCTGAGCACGAACTCCATAGCACTGGTGAGAATCCTGAAATACCTTGGGTAGATTCTTAACCCCAAATTTTGCCCGGGCAGCGCCATTAGGATACTCTTTTCTATTTCTAACTGACAAAAGATTTTTTTTTACGTGCCTGACAATACACCATTTTACTACCCAGAGACCAGAGGAAATTACTAGAAGTCCACATGAAAAAATCCCAATCTTAACTGAGGCTTGAACCCGGGACCTCCAGCACTTGAGGTGGACACTATGCCTTGAGACCATGCAGCTGCCCTTTCAGAAAGAATGACTAATATGAACAGAGATCTGTATTTGTACTTTACTTATTACATTAAAGCGTTTGATCAAGTGAAACATGCAGAAATTATAAGAATTTTGGAAACCTTAAACATCGATGGTAAAGATCTCAGAAAAATAGAAAACATATACTGGCAACAAGAAGCAGCCATAAGGCTGGACAACCAAGTTGGAACTTTTCAAAACATAAAACAAGGCGTTAAACATGTATGTGTACTAACACCAGATTTATTCAATTTGTACAGTGAAATAATAATTAGATCCATTCATGGTATGCCAGGAATAGCGCTTGGTGGGCATAATGTTATATGCTGATGATATACAGCTGAATGCTGGAAATGAAACAAAACTGCAAGAAATGATGGGTATAACTGTAAAGTTAAAACAAGGGTCTTAGTTTGAACAGCAGAAAAACAATAGTAATGGTAATTATGAATAAAACTGACCCTCCAAAATGCAACATCATAGTGAATGGGACAAACTGCAAACAAGTTGATATGTTTAAATATCTAGGTACCTTGATAACATCAGATGGAAGTCGTATTAAGGAAGTTAATCGTTGAATAGCTTAAGCAAAGGCAGCATTTTATAAAATGAAGAATATTTTATGCAATCTTTCTTTGTCAATTGAGACGAAAAAGAGAATTCTTAAAAGCTATATAAATCCTGTATTGATATATGGATGTGAATCATGGACAGTTAGTAAATTAGTAAAAACATTTTTGGAAGCTGCAGAGATATGGTTTTATAGATGAATGATGGGAATATTCTGGACAGATAAAAAGAGTAATGAAGACATTTTGAAAGAAACTGACTAGTGAAGAGAACTGATTGAACACATCAGAAAGAGACAATCTACATTCTTTGGTCATGTGATGAGAAGGAGAAAACTGGAGTACATCATGACAGTAGGAAAGTTGGAGGGGAGAAGAGGCTGGGGAGACAGAGAGAACAGATGCTGGACAGTTTAACATCGTGGCAAAGAGGATCATCAGTGTCAGAGTTGACTGAAAGTACACGAGACAGAAAGTTGTGGATAGACATGATTACCAACCCCACACAGCATGGACTTTAAGAAAAAATAATCAATTTGGTATAATATTTGCACTGACTCTCCAAAACTTTCAGTCTTGTATATACATGATACATTCATATGATACATTCACAACATTTTCTGTACTGTACATACATGATACATTAACATGGTACATTCATCACATCTTCTTCTTCTGCTTCAGTATTCCGAGTCCTTGAGGTTCACTGCTGCAGATGTCACCACTTAATTGCTGCAGATGTCACCACTTAATTGCTGCAGATGTCACCACCCCTCCATTCATCTCTGTGATTCACCTTTTCTTTCTGGTTAGGGATGTAAAGCGTTTGTAAGTCTGCCTGGATATTATCTCTCCTCTGTCTTCTTGGTCCGACTTAAGGTCTGCAGCCATTCAACTCCCTTGCATACCTTGTTTTGCCTATCTGCCATTCTTCCTATCTACCCCAGCCATTTCAGTCTGTTAACCTTCTTGATGCCAGTTATCAATGAGGATTAATACAGACTATTAATTTTGTTGTTGCCTCTCACTCTCCTAAGATTCATTATAAGACTCTATTGACAAAAATGTATATTAAGGCCTCTTGTAGTTGTGTCTCAGGTTTCAGACCCATGTAAGACAACTGTTATCAGAGTCACATATGATAAAAATATCTTTTGTAGGTTAGTTTTCTCATTTGAAAGTTGAAACCTATTCTTCAATGAACAGGCGGACAGACTGGCTAGCTCTGCACAACTTGGTGAAATACTGATGCATGATAGGGCAGACATGGTTAGGTCCTTGTGGGAAAGCGTGTACAGTTTGGTGAAGCAGATGGATCACCAGTCAGGGGGAGTGACAAGAGGTTCTGGCAGATGCTTGAGGCTCAGAAGGGAAGGCAAGATGGACGTTTAACCATAATGCTACTGGCACCGCTAGTATCATAACTCTTTGCTGGTTGCTGAAAATGGGGACAGAGCACTTGTGTAAATGCCCTGAGTGCTGTGATGTCGGTTCTTAAATCAAATCAAATTAAATCAAACCTATTCTCTTTGATTTTCAACTGTTGAAGAGTTACAAGAGGACTGACTAACCTCTGCCAAGGTGACCAAGACTGGATCAAAGGTCACTTGTTCAGGTGGTGTGTCCCAGGCCAGCTTATGTTTAACACTGCCATGAACTAACCTGGAAAAATTACAAGACACATTACTAAAATAACATGTTTGTTCTTTCTAAACCTAAAACTAAACACACTGATGGTCATCCATTTGGTAAAAAATAAAGAAACAATGATAAAAAGAAAGTCACTTTGTTGTAACAAATTCAAATGAGAAATGTCTGACAGTGACCACTCTGGTAAGTAGCCTACAGCAAACAATGCCATCAGAAAGTGCAGTTATGTAATTAAAAAAAAAAGTAAAGGTCTCTTTTCCACGCCTTTAGGCATATAGGGTTAAACCTACATTTTTATAGACCAGTCAGCACAAGATGGGTGATATAGTCAACATCACGCTGGCCTTTACTTCCTCGGACTGCACCCAGTCCCCACTAAAGGCAAGGTCGACCTGGGAGTCAAGGTCATGTTTTTAAAAGCCCAGCTTTGCCAGGAAGCGAACCGACCGATTCGCACGCGAGCGTCCAGCTATTCCGCCATGGCGACTCCCGCAGTGTTATGTAAAACAGCAAAATGTTTCTCTATAACTACTTATCTTGTTTACTTATCACAACGTTCTCCAGTTCCCCTTTTGTCATCATATGACCAAAAAATACTGTTTTTCTCATTAATTGTTTGCATCTATCTGTCATTACAGGGTTATGTTGTGCTAGAACGAGGTTTGCGAATCCAGCCAATAGCAATGACAAAAAGGACTACAGGATTTTTGTTAAGTAGTTTCCACAAGTTGAGCATGGGAATCCAGCCTAAAGCAATGGCAAGAGTGACTAAAAGACCTGTGTTAAGTTTTAGATCCACAGGTGACCATCTAGCCGCTACATCATGATGGTTTAGCCTCTCGCTATCCACTGCCATATTTTAAAACAGATTGACTCAAGCATTTCAGTTCTTTCTGACATTTAATGAAAGTAACTGATTCCATAAGATACTTTTCACCTTCAGTTAGCTTCGCAAGGAAAACTGAAACCTAACGTACAGGGATTGTGGAGCATAGCTGGATTTCTCTGCCCTAGGATTCAGATGCTTCCAGGACACTCCTAAGAAGAAAAACACAGGCATCCTATGTGATCTGTCTGAGCATCAAGGAGAATTGGCTCATTAGGCTCATAAACAGCATCCTGTCCCAAAAGCTGAAGTATTCTGGACATGTTAGACATCATTATGGCCTGAAAGAAGGCTCAGGGAGGGTTTAGTTTTTTGAAAACGATAAAGAGGCAGACCTTCATTACCGTGGACACAAGATAATCAAGATGCCTTGCTAATAAAAGCACAAAGGGCTGGAGAACTGGCTAGAGAAAGAGATACTTTCAGGCGTGCTGTGAGGAGAGTGACATTCTGTAAAAGACCTGCCAATTTTTGATGTTGAGGACTCACACTTGAAGTAACAAATAAGTTAAGGGACCCTTTTCTACGCCTTTCAGGCATAGTGGGTATATAGGGCTACACCACGGCAGCTCCCTCTAAACTTTAAGTGCTAAGTAAATAATATTTCTGAACATTTTCAATGTGGAAGTATCAGTGTCAATTCTTGCGTGTATGAAACAATTTATGTTAGGATTGAGGCCAGAGGGGCAGAATGTTAAATGGGTCAGTATGCTAAATTCTTCACCCTTCGAAATTAAATTTAGTTCATTCATTCATTTGATTAAAGATTTCCAGCAGCAGTGTCTGTTCTGTCGCTTGTAACTGTGTTTTCTGTTTTTAAACATTGACTAATAGCATTTTCATAACAGCAGCAATAATAAGAATAATGACAACTTTAAGAATGTGATAACAGTAACAACAGTGGAATCATAAACACTAACAGCAATAGCATATTAACAGCAATAATCAAAGCTTCATAGAAATAATTCATAAAATGCTCATAGGAGCACTAGAAGTAGTATTATCATAAAATATAATAATATTAACAACAGCAATGCAATAATACAAACACTGCAATATTTTATTAATTATTGTTACAACAATAATCAGTCAATCAGTGGCCATCTCCATAGTGATAGCTGGCTGCAACTGATCTCCAACACATTCTGTCTCTTGCCTTGGCTGTACACTCTCTCAGACTGTTGTTTGTCCATCTCGTGATAATATCCTCCCACTTGTATTAATATCTACTTCTTGCTCTCTCGCCTTCAATCATTTTCTCCAGTATAATTTTTAAAAGAGTGTTTTGCCGCTTAATAAAACCAAAATATTTCAATGTCCCCTTTTAAAAAAATTTCTTATAGTATCCTCTGCATTTGATTGTTTTTGTTTCCACAAAATAGGACCTACTGTTCTAGACCTTCACATTTTTTAGAATTTTAATTGTCTCATAACAATAAAGTCAACAGCAATAAAACAAAAGTAAGCGTACACAATCAACAATTAGAATGAAATAATAATAATAATAACACAAATAACAACAGACAGCATCAGAACCATGGTGTTACCTGCATGGCACTCCCCCATTAGCATAAACTGAAGCAAAAGCTGACTGCACTTTCTTTGTATTAGAAAACTGAAAGAACAAACATATTTATTAGAAAACTGAAAGGGATAAAAATATTTATTAGAAAACTGAGGGGAAAAAAATTTATTAAAAAAACTGACCGCAAGAGGAAAAACAGAAGTAGCTCACATGCATTTTACATTATCATTATGAAAATCATTATTATGTACGTCCTGTGCCATTATGGCTGATTTATTTTCCTTACAAAATTCCTGTCTCATGTACTTTCATGCTCAACCTACTGGATTTATTACCTCAACTTACTGGATCTATTATCTCAACTTACTGGATATATTATCTCAAACTATCACCTCTGTTACCTCAGCTCAGTGGATTTATTATCTCAACTTACTGGATCTATATCTCAACTTACTGGATCTATTATGTCAACTTACTGGATCTATTATGTCAACTTACTGGATCTATTATGTCAACTTACTGGATCTATTATGTCAACTTACTGGATCTATTATGTCAACTTACTGGATCTATTATGTCAACTTACTGGATCTATTATGTCAACTTACTGGATCTATTATCTCAACTTACTGGATATATTATCTCAAACTATCACCTCTGTTACCTCAGCTCAGTGGATTTATTATCTCAACTTACTGGATCTATTATCTCATCTTACTTGATCTATTATTTCAACTTACTGGATCTATTTTCTCAACTTACTGGATCTATTATCTCAACTTACTGTATCTTTTATAACAACTTACTGTATCTATAATCTCAACTTACTGGATCTATTATCTCAACTTACTGGATCTATTATCTCAACCTATCACCTCTGTTACCTCAGCTTAGTGGATTTATTATCTAAACTTTGTGATTTGTTAGCTCAATATCTATTATCTCAGATTTATGGATCTATTATTTCAACTTACTGGATCTATTATCTCAACTTACCGGGTCTATCGTCTTGGGATTCAGTCTGTCTGAAGGCTTTTCGTGTTTCCCTGAGTTTGAGGGTTTGCTATCACCAGCTGAGTTGTTGCCCCTGCTAGCAGTTTGTTTCCCGGCACTAGAAGGTGGTGTTCTTGAACCTCGAGATCCTGCAGATCCCAGAGAACTCGTTCGGCTCTGTGCACTGCCTGGATGTGAGGAAGCCATCTTTACAATCTACTGTGTCTTTTGTTATAATTAGTAACTGAAATCCTAGTTTGAGTGCTTGCTTGGAAGTTCAATTGTGAGCTGATCTGAAACAGAGACAGAAATTTACCATTTATTATGTGCAGTTTAGATAATCTGGGAGTTCTGCAGATTCCATTACCCCTTCTTATTCCTTTTTCTTATTCTTTTCATCATCATCATCTTCTCCCACTGTTTATAGAGATCCTGAACGAACTCACACCAAGTTATTTGTACCATTAAAAGATATATAAACCAAATGAGAAGTAGAACCAGACACCTTCATGTTATCACAATCACAAACGACTAGTGAAGGTTGCAGCTAGAAATCCTTCGTCAGAAGATGACATGAACAGGTAATGTTGCCAACAAGAATACCCAAAAATCACTTAACGAGTAACTCCAAGAAAAATCAACATGTTTGTCTGGCCAGTTGAAGGTTTAAGATACGTGTGAATATAGGAAATGAATACTAGTCAGAAAAAAAAAAGTGTTGCAGGCAGAGGCTAATCTCTATCTATTGTCTTTCTCTGCTTAATTATGTTAGAAATCACATGCATGGCTAATGATTGGTTCCTGGACAGTGTGCACATGTTAGCTTCCTGATATTGTTGAGTTTCAGCAAATTGTCAACTCTATCTATCCATCTTCTTCTTGGCCTTCCTCTGCCTCTTGATGTTCCCATTCTCACGTTGTATCCTCTTGCAACTGGTGACACTGGCTTTATTCTGACCAGGTGGCCAAACCAATTCAGTCTTTGTTTTTCAAAAAACCTAATTACAGGTGTTGTAAGAGCCAATACTCAAGAATATTAGATAAAGCTGTGTTGGACGCCATATCCCTTAGGTGAGTTGGAGCCCATTAGATAGATACAGCAGTTCTCAAGAGATTTACACACTCTGTCACTGGAGAAGTTAGACCTGATGGTCATAACAAGTTATTTGTAGATTTTTGTAGCCAAGGATTTGTAAGGTATTATGTAGCCAGCCACAAATCAACTATCTTTAGTATTATCTAATGATATGTATGTTTGGTTACAGTCATGTTATTATTCTTTGCTTCCATTACGAGCTCCAGAAACATACAGGCTTGTATTTAAGTATATATTTGGTATATTTTACAAGTGTAAATAAATATAAATTCTGAAAACATTAAAGAAGACATAGAATACAGGAAAGGCATTCAGTAGGTGTGCATACAGAGCCTCATTACAAGTAGACAGGCAATTTAGCATTTGTTACTCCTTCTGAACCAAGCAGCTTGCTTGGGCGTTGACTACACATATTTAACTGCCTTGACTCAATACACATGAAGCGTAGGCCAATCTGTGGCAGGGCAGGCCAGGTCCTCGGCCCTGTTTGGCAGTTGGAAGCCTTGACAGGCGGACAGACACAGCACTGTTCTGCTGATCCTGCAGCTTCTACAGCAGCCTTTGTACCAAATATTTTAGTGTTATCTTTGATTATAGTAAACATGGCAGACTAAAACAGGCAAACAGAAAGACATGTAGAAACAGAGAGGTCAGAGATAGGTACATCAATGGTCTGGCCCCTGCAATTATCAAGACCAGAATAGAGACTTAATCCAAGTCTCTGGTGATTATGTAAGTCGGCAAAGCATGTCTGCCATGCTCACCATAATGGAACATGACAATGATGATTACTGAACAATAAACATAAGAGCATCTCATCAAGGGTACAAGATGTTTGATTAATCAACACAGAAAAGACTTTAACAGTTGTTTTTTGCCTGTGGAGCTTTTGAGAAGCTAGGAGCAGCCATGGATCTATCCAGAGTGCTGTGATGGTAATCCTCACTAATTACTAATCAATACAGGCTCACCATAAAATGTTTTTAAAATTTTGCGACATTACACATTTTTCTTTAACCCCTTCTTTGCACACTAAAATCTTCCTACACCGTTGTGGATTCTTACTGCTGAATGTATGCTACTAATGTATGTGCCAAAGTTCTTCCTTATGATGCACAATGCCAAAGATATTTGCGCAAGGTTTCCTTGAAGAAATAAAAGGTGCTTTTATTTACCACAGCAGCAGCAATAAAATTAGCCTTAAAATGATGCCAGTACTGTACATCATTGTGTACTGCCGGACAAAAGCCCTGGTTCTGTAGTCTGGCCAGCAAAGGTACAGGCACGTTTTTACATTAAACACTTTTAGACATGAGGCAGCCCCCATGTGGGTCCTAAGCCCCCATTTTAAAGGGAAACAGAATAGACCCACTGCCCCTCCCTACCCCTAGCCATTAGTATCCCAAGTAATTATAGACCGATCTCCCTGTTATCATCCCTATCAAAACTATTTATCATCATCATGTAGCAGGTCCTTTGCAGAACGTCGCTCTCATCACGGTCTGCTTGAAAGAAACTTAGTCTCTCGCCAGATCTTCCGCCTCATGTACTTTCATACTCAAGGAGTCACTCCTGTGCCCTCTACTATAATTTTTTCCAATCCGTCGTGGCGCTTAATATGACCAAAATATTTCAGTTATCAAAACCACTAGAGAAACATATTCATAAAGTAACATTTCAATATTTAGATCGCAACAAACTTATAATGGATAACCAATCAGGGTTTCGACCAAAATATTAAATATTTATGGGAATAATAAAATTAAGTCCAGGAATAGACAAAGAAGCAGAACTTTCTGCCAAAGTTTACAGCCAGTGAACCGGAATAAAAAGACGAAAAAGAAGTGCCCATGTAATGTGCAAGCCATTGTTTGTGCCAGTATGGAAACATCAGCATCAACATCATGTTCATCATTGTTATGTCCCATAATGCTCATAGGTTTTTCCGTCACTCCATTCTATCCAGGGCAATATTTTTATATCATAGACTGAATCCAGTCCAGCACCTCTGACCTCTAACCTTAAGGTCTAATCCAGTCCAGCACCTCTGACCTTTATCCTTAAGGTCTAATCCAGTCCAGCACATCTGACCTTTATCCTTAAGGTCTAATCCAGTCCAGTACCTCTGACATCTAACCTTAACGTCTAATCCAGTCCAGCACCTCTGACCTCTATCCTTAACGTTCTCTCCCTTGTTGAATCAATTCATTTGTTTCTCATTTCAGTGCCTGTGTGGTGATTTCTGTTCAGTTCTAAGTTTTAGGTGTATGATTACCGTAAATGTAAACTATATGGGGTTTCGTTATTATTTATGTGCCCAGCAAAGTAGCGCTTCACTTAATTAGTATATGCAGGGAGTTAATTTATTCAAAGTTCCTGAAACATTCAGATTTAAAATACTCTCCCATGTTGCTATCCTACAAATAACGGTCCCAAATTATTGAGGCCAAAAATATACCCTAAAACGGCCACAGTCACATGTATATTGCGGACCTCTTCCGGCGACAACACAGCATACAGCCGATAGTATCTCCCATTGCTGGCACTCACAAGTAAATAAAATGAAGGAAGCTGCAGGAGATGCGGTAGCTGCTACTTGTGACTCCCAGCAATCAAGTTGAGCCCTCCCTCCGCATCGCGCGCAGCGGCGCGGGAGATACTCTCGGCAGTGACTTTAACTCACCCGAAAGCTTTTCCGCGGTATGCTGTGTGCTCGCCGGAAGTGGTCTGCAATTTACATGTGACTGAGGCCCTGTTAGGATATATTTTTGGCCTCGATAATTTGGGACCATTATTCAGAGGATAGCCCATTTTTCTGTGTATGGAACTGAACAGGGTAGTATTTAATCTGCATTTTTTCTTCCTAGATTGTACTAGGTTATCTGTTCTATTCCTTTTGAGATTGTGGTCTAGAATCGTTCCAGAGTATAGCGTATACACACGACTGAAGTACCTAGTATGCAACTTTATGCAGCTGATGTTGATGACTTGGTCACTAACTTTTTATTTCTTGAATTTTAATAAATATTTAAAAAAAGGCTCTCCTCTGAACTTCTACACCCGCAGTGTTGCGGTCTGAAATATCCGTCTTGGGCGCAGTCCAATTAAAAATATGTCGGCTCCGTATAACGAAACAAATGCTCTAACAGGGTCTCAGCGATATGTTACTTGCGGACCTGTTTCTTATTGTTTCTGATTAGCTGACAATTCTAAGAGACGCAACACTGCAGACGATAATAATAGCGACCGTTGACACTTTCCATTGAATCGCGGCAAATCTAGGATCGGCTCGGAAAAACGAAACAAATGCTCTAACAGGGTCTCAGCGATATGTTACTTGTGGGCCTGTTTCTGTGACTATGCCTCATCGCCGACCGTACCCCCCGCGCCGCTACGCGCGGTGCGGATAGGGGCTAAACTAGATGGCTGGGACTCACGAGCGGCGGCTACCTCATCTCCTGCAACTTCCTCTAATTACTTTGCTCATGAGTCCCTAAGCACCTAGTTTAGCCCCACATCCGCTCCGCGTGTAGCGGCGTGGGAGATACGCTCGGCGGTGAGTTTAATCGCGTTTTGCGCATGCCGACAAGTCTGACATCTACCGCTGCTAAATCCTCAGTCGGAAGAACAGTATTGCTAATCTGCGTGGGAGCGCGTGGTCTACCCGCCATATCGCTTTCATCGTCTGTAATTTCTCGAAATTGTCAACGGTTGCTTTTATCGTCTGCTAGTATCGTCTGCAGAAAACGCTCGACATTGTCACCGGTCGCTTTTATCGTCTGCTACTATCGTCTGCAATGTTGCGTCTCGTGACATTGTAAGGTACTCCTAGTTTTGCCGCAATTTGTTTCTCGGCGGGAACTGCGCCCGGAACGGATATTTCAGGCCGCAATACTGCGGGGGTAGAAGTTCGGAGGAGAGCCAAAAAAATAGCAGGGCAAATATGAAATAAATATCATAAATCGACCATGCAGTCATTTATTAAGCTACCGAAGAGAGAGAGAGCCTACAACATGAACATGAGAATGGAAACAAGAGAGGCCGAGGGAGACAAACAAGAAAATAGTAGAGCAGGAGTCTCTGAGAGCCTAACAGTGAAGTTTTCACAACACACAAACCAAGCAGCAACCAAACGGGTCGTAGTTCGGCCGTCTATCTTCTGTTAAACAGCAACGCCTAGCGACACACAAACGTCTAGGACAAGAAAGAGAAAGATCGTTTACAAACTATGATAGAAGAATAAATTATTCAATTAACAAGCGTACTTTAAAGAGACGAAATGAACATCCAATAGCTCAGTTGTGTTATAGCAGGCGCCAGCCATCATCCATGTTGTTTACCTTGACTATGCGAAAGTGCGAGAATGCTGGGTTGTCGCACAGACACACACTCTCATACGCACCACACACAAATTGATGACGTCATATGTCCACAGAAATGTAAATCAACTTTAGTGAATTGACAGATTATCCTCACTGCACATCGAACAAGTCAATAAGCGCTCCGATCCAATCTTCAGTATGTCCCTCAGCCTGTGGTGACAGATAACACCAGCCCTCTGTTGGTTAACCATTCTTCTTTTGCTACCGATACAGTGTTCATGTCTGGCAGTACTTCTTTTGACCTAACATCCTTGTAGTGTTTTTAATATTACCGACTCATCGTAGTCTAAATGATTTATTTACTCGTCCTATCTTCCTGAGAGCATTGGGAATGTCAGCCCGGTCCATGTATAGGGCAAATGAAACACTTTTTTTTTTTCGATTGTTTGTTAAATTTGGCAAATTAGCCACCTGACATTGCTAGCACTCAGCTCTTCCCTGTGTCAATACCAGAGGACAGACAGTTAAATCAACGTATGATTTGTTGTTTGTGTACTAGAAGAGAAACCTAAGATGGAATGTTGAATAATAGGAAAGGGCAGAAATAACTCTAAAGGATTATATAAAAATCTACTCCCTAAACTTATCTCGACTCCAAACCTATAATACAAGAGCTTTAACTGTGTCGTGGCCTAAGTGGAAACAACCCATCTCAAGCTGCCTCAGTAACAAAACAAAAACAAAAAGAGTTTGTTAGGCGGGAACTAGAACCATCGCATTCTAGCCCAGACAGGATATATTTTGTATAAAGTCTAATCATCAGTACAAGTAAAACGAGACATCACTAAATACCAGTATTATCTATAATTAAAACAACTGAAACTATAATTATCACATTAAACATCTGTTTATTTTACTGAATCACAAAACTAAGCGCTTCACATATTACATTAACAATTAACATCGCTTTTACACACAAACATGTAATGAGCACATCATCAAGCATGACAATTCATATAAAATCAAATATCTCTGAGCGATAAAACACACTGATATATCTATCCACACAATTTAACTACTAGATACAATTCAGGGCTAACTATAGAAAAACGCATCACTATCATCATTAACGAGCCAGACTCACAGTCCATCCCCAGCAGTCACCCGAACAGGTGCTGCTGATCACATCTATCGTGTGGCCGTCGCTTGCTGAGCAACTGCGGCGTCAGCCCGAGAAACCAAAATAAGCTCGTTTTAGGGTGCCCTCACGGCCTTCTCTATTTATAGGTCAAACAGGTGAACAGGGATTCCCGTTCTTGTGCAAGAAGGGAGTTCCTCTGTGTCTACAGTTTGTATCGAGGAGAAGTATATACTAATTATACTACAGTTTCATTTATTTCATTTTAAAGGCAAATAAGTGTGCTATTAAAATATTACAATAAAGGCTATTACAGACAAACAAAAATGCCTTTGCTACAGTCAACATGAACATAAACATCAATAACGTATAGATATAAACTAAAAGTTATTCCAGCAAAAGTAAAGAAATATTCGTATTAGTGCAAACTCTTTGATTCTGAGAGGGTATTGCTGCATCAGAAGAGCCGCGGAGAGGGGGGGGGGGTGGAAAGGGGTGATATTTGTACTTTTTCAAATTTAGCGCATAAAAATATTGCTGTGAAACATACACATGTCATTCATAACATAAATATAAATGATTAGTGGTTATTATTACTGTTAGTAGACTACTACAACATATAATTATACTCTTATTTAATAATGAGTAAACAAGCACAGTCATTATGAAATTGATATGTGCAATAATTTTTCACCCAGAGCAGTTTTCTCAACATTACTTATAGCACAACTAAATATTCATCCTCAAGGTACAAACAGCATAAACAAATTTGCCCAGTTTCAACTTGCTGGATGAAATCAATTCCTTATCATTGGGAATTTTGTAGTAACTGTTTAAAAATACATCACACATATTTCTGGATACTGCATGCAACAATGCGTATAAGTTCATGAATGGTATAATATTTAAAGGTAATTAAGGCAAATTAAAAAAGACCATTTAACTGCAAATCCTGTGTAACATACACATATCAAACACAAAAATTCCCCATATAGATACCGGATCTTGTTGTTCAAAACAGTGTCTGGAACAAGACTAAAGCCCAGATGTAGATGAACAACCAGAAGTTTCTGCCAGAGTTTACAGCCAGTGTTCATGAAACATAGGACAATTTACAAAAATTAATACAGACCGTACAACTGCAAATATGCATAAGAAGTAGACGAACAACCAGAAGTTTCATGCCAGAGTTTACAGCCAGTGTTCGCGAGGCATAAGACAATTTACAAAATTGAACACAAATGGTTGACGAATAATATTATTAGTGTACTTCTACAACATATAATTATACTGATAGTCAACAATTAGTAAAGAGGCAAAGTGTGACTTGCTGTGAGAGGTTAGTTAGTAAATAAAATATTGTTTTCATCCACTTACCCAGAGCTCCGAAATATCTTTACACTATTTATTCACAGTGTAGTTGCACTATTTATGCACAGTCAATTTGAAAGCAATATCGCTTATATCCACTTCACAATATCTGTTTGTCGATTTGTAACACAAATACATTCAGAACACAGAACTTTGTAAGCACATTAATATGTCACACGATGCAACACATGGAAAGGGCTTCCAGTAACTAGTTTCCCATGGACTCCTTTCAAAAATTGACGTCATTTAGTTGTCAGGCACTATTAGAGACGGCATTGGGTGCCCTGATCATTTTATGCTGAGTGGTCATATTTTTCACACGTGAAATCAAACTAAAATCAATAGCTGTTGCCCTACAAATACATTTGGTATTGCAAGTTTTTTTAAATTTTCTGTAAAGGTGGAGGAAAATGGGAGGGGGTACTCAAGGATGTGTGCCCCCTTTCCCTCCACAACTAATATTTTGCCTAGAAAATGTTTGCAAAGGAGGGGGGAGGGGTGGTTGAGGATAGGGACGTCGCTTAATGATCTCTTACGTAACTGGGAAAAGTTGGGATGAGCAGTGCTGACTTCCCGTCGAATTTTCCCCTTTGTCCCTTCCCCTGTGCTGCCTCAATGCTGCATAGTCTTTGTCTGAGCGGCAGCCCCAGAAACGAAGAGATGTATGTAGTCATTGTGACTATTATGTTACCAAACTATCAATACCGTGAAAAGAATCAGATCTACTTAATCCAGCGGGGGGAGTGCAGCAACGATAACAACATTCTGTACAGAAGCTGTGGACGGTTAATGAGGGGGTTAAAAAAAAGGTACAGTCGGGAGGTGTGAACCAGCGTCATTGCACACAGTTATAAACCATAAGTGCTCTGCCACCAGTAATGATAGCGAAGTTCCTCCATTTACCCCAGAGTGTCAACTCTGGTACACATTTCCTAGAGGCTGGGTGAACCCCGGGAACCGCCCGGTTTCGAACACCGGCCATGTGCTGCAGCGAGTCGCAACTGGATTTGATCATGAGGAGGAAAAGGACAGACCACATAACACAACACGCGTTTGCTTGGCACTAAATGTTCCTAATGTGTAGGGTCACTATAGTTTATCCCCAGTCTGATTATTCTAGTGCTGTGCATGGTTGCCTTAACATGTGCAACACAAGAGAATTGCCCCGAGTTTATGTTAGTTGCGTACCTTTTACAGGACGTTGCAGAACCAACCCCAGCATTAGCTGTTGTGGTTTCTCTAGGCAAATTTACGTTCAGTAGTTTGACATTGCTTTCTGGGCGGCTGGTTTCTCGAGGCCACGGTCGAAACCAATGCAAGGCCCGCTGCTGGGGTCTAACCCTGCACCCCGGCATTACGAAGTTGCCGACAATACATATTTTATTTGAATTTAATACGAAGTGACAAAACAATATGAATGCATCAAAAATTTTAAACGGTACCTTTACTCGATTTGACCCCAAACAAAGGATATCCTGGAGTGCCAGGGAAAGAGGAATATTCTAGGGGTGTTAACATTTGAAATGAATTTGGTGGGACAAAACAATGAGAACACCTGTGTGCCCTGAGCGAAAAATTAAACTGATCATTGGTAGCCCTGACCGCATCACACTGACTAACCCTAACTCAACAACAACCCCTAACACCCCTAGAATATTGGGCGTTCTGGAAAACTCCCGGATTTCCTGGGTTGAGTTCTAGTTAAAGAATCCTTAAAAAGTACGAAGACATTGTCAGCAAATACAATAAATGCTGGATTTTCTGAGCCATTAGAGGTAGTATTATTTCGTTACATCACATCAAGTTATTTCGGACAGATCCTATTTTTTCATATTCCCCCTTAGCGGATAGTGTACTTGGTGGCCGCTACTGCCATTTTGCTTCACGTTGCAATAAAGGCGAAACATCTCTCTGTTCAAGCCATTATCGCTACCTGAACTTGTTATAAGCTAGACTTGAAATAATAAATCGCTTTATCCCCTAGCTTGATACTTAAATCGCGATTCTGAGGTCGCGTCAATTAGCGTCCTTTTTATTTGTTTTTGTTTTTTCTAGGTTTTGCAGGTGTGTTGAAATATTAACAGGTCGACAGATTGAACAGCCTTAAAAGTCCATGGTTACGCACCAGCAAGGAGATAAAAATTAAAATTTTGAGAGCATGCATCTTCCCTGTGGCTACATCCGGATGTGAGTCGTGGACTATCTCTCAGTTCTTAAGAAAGAGAATAGGGGCTTTTGAGCTGAAATGCTATAGAAAGATTCTCAGAATATCTTGGACAAAGAAGATGAGAAATATTGACATCTTAAAAGATCTGAACATCAAGGAAAGCCGAAATATTTTGGTCATATCAAGCGCCACTACGGATTGGAAAAAATTATAGCAGAAGGCATGGTACCAGGAAGGAGGGGCAGAGGCCGACCGACACGAAGATGGGCACAGGATATAAGTGACTCCTTGAGTGTGAAAGTTCATGAGGCGGGAGAACTGGCAAGAACAGGCAGACTGTGATGAGAGCGACGTTCTGCAAAGGACCTACTACATGATGATGATGATGACAGATTGTGTGGTTCTCCACCACTGGCTGGTTAATGGATACATGACAATCTAGATGCGACCAAGGCCCCTGGTGGGACTGGCTTGTTAATGGATACGTGACAATCTAGATGCGACCAAGGCCCCTGGTGGGACTGGCTTGTTAATGGATACATGACAATCTAGATGCGACCAAGGCCCCTGGTGGGACTGGCTTGTTAATGGATACGTGACAATCTAAATGCGACCAAGGCCCCTGGTGGGACTGGCTTGTTAATGGATACGTGACAATCTAGATGCGACCAAGGCCCCTGGTGGGACTGGCTTGTTAATGGATACGTGACAATCTAGATGCGACCAAGGCCCCTGGTGGGACTGGCTTGTTAATGGATACATGACAATCTAGATGCGACCAAGGCCCCTGGTGGGACTGGCTTGTTAATGGATACGTGACAATCTAAATGCGACCAAGGCCCCTGGTGGGACTGGCTTGTTAATGGATACGTGACAATCTAAATGCGACCAAGGCCCCTGGTGGGACTGGCTTGTTAATGGATACATGACAATCTAGATGCGACCAAGGCCCCTGGTGGGACTGGCTTGTTAATGGATACGTGACAATCTAAATGCGACCAAGGCCCTTTAATATCGAGTGAACAATGCAGAGGAACAAATAGATGTTTATGGTCTAGAGAGAATGGTGCAGCCAGGAGTGATCAAGGGATCTGGTTGATACCCAGAGGAGAGGCAAAAGGACATATAATCAAAATGTTACTGGTACCACTGGCATTATAAGTATTCGCTGGCTGCTGCAGATGTGGAAAGAGCATTTATGTGATGTCCGGGTGCCCACGCCCACCCCCTCCAAAAGTAACCCACATATACAGAAATGCTCTTTCAAATATATATTAATACATTTCATGTTATTTCAAATATATTATAACATTTATTAGTCATTCTTCATATAGCAGTATTGTTATTATTTTGTCGTGAAATAATGTTTCCAGTCCCCCTAAACCTCCTCCAATGTTTTCTCTGTGTCAGTGCTCCAGATAAACAAACAGAATGATGCCTTAAAGTTATGTCTACTAATATATTAGAGAACAAAATAAACATCAACAGCAAAAAAACACTTCACCTACAATCAGTGACATTCTGTTTGATTTACTCCACAGATAAGAACAGATAAGGACAAGTAATGATTGGTTCCTTGTCACTGAGTAGTTCTGTTGGTGTTCTGCCCATTGATATGTGGAAGTTTTTCACAGCCTTAGCAATTGTCGCATCGATTGTCCTGATATGTTGTTGAGTAAAGTGATTATGCCATGCTTTGCAGTGTACCATATAGGAAAACCCAGTGTTTTTAACCATGTACAGTGGAAGTATGAGCAGCTTTAAATGTGCGTTTTGTCATCTCCTTACTTCATTTGTCACAGGTGTTTCTATAATATGTTTGTTGTAATTGCTTTTTTCTTCACTTAGGTCCTCCCCTCTTCTTTCATATGACGTCATCTGCTTAATTGCGTATACGTAATTGACTCAGACAGTGCTTTCTGCGTGGTTTACCACACTCCGAACAGGAGACTGTTGAGAATGGCTGAAGCTTTAATAATTAAAACCAACAACACCCTCCTTTGCAAGCAT